CATCAAGTGGCAGCTGGTTCTTGCTCAGCAGGAGCTTCATTAAACCCTGTAGGAATTTTGTCGTGTTACGATGGGAGAACATGATCAGAGCTTGTAGAGCAATGTGGCAGGCTGACACTGTGTTAAGGGAAGCGTTTTCAGGTACTTCTGGGGACACTTGTGGAATAATCATAGTCCAAAATGTACAATCAGTGTTCAAGCAATTCAGGACATAGGATCCGGTATAGGGAATCTGAACCTCAGCATGCGGCAGGACATGTTGTTGTGAAGGAACAAGAAAATCTAATGTTAGGTTCAGGAAAACCACCGTAACCGGTGAACTGAGGCTAGAATTGTGTTTTCAGTGTCTCGTATTTTCCAGAACCTTGTCTTGCTAGAAACGGTGTGGAAGGCATAGAGAGAGGATGGATGGGACCAAAGCATCATTTGGCTTCATCCTTTGCAATAAGGAATGCAAGACCACAAAAGATTTTCTGTGTTCATATAATTAAAACAAGGTCAAATCGTTACTGTTCTCAGTCAGTATCATAATATGCTCAAACAGACCCTAGTCATTGACTCTAAATTGCAATGTTTACTTTCTTTCTTAGCTGATAGGTACTAAATGGGGGGAAATTGGGCAAGCCGCAATGACTATGTTATTTTTTGCTGATGGTCATTCAAAGAGTAATTTTATATTGGAAAAATAGCCTTTAAAAAGAAATCAGAACTGGAAGATACTTGTATAATGTTGACTTTATTTACGTTCGTTCATATATCTTCATTGTAGATGATACTTCCCTCTCTAGGATTGTAGTAGAAGAAAACTAAATTGAAGAATTTCCTCACTTAGGAACAAGGACCATATGTTCTGACAATCATGATATTTCCCCAAGTATGGCTCTCTGATATTCACAAACTGCATTGGATATATTTGTCTTTCTGAATACATATTTGCCTTCAGAGATTTGAATTCTGACCCTCACTGTATGGTCATAACTCTCTTCAGCTGTGCAATAGTCAGGTTTGATATTTCAGTTGTCTTTATGTTTTAGATAAGAATGGAGGCCAGTCACACTTTTCAGATGTTTCAGACTGTTGGCACGTTCTTGGCAGACACCACTTTCTAGTATTTGATTTACATTTGATTATTATTTTCTACACTGCATATTTGAATTTTTTTTTTTAACGGGCTGGAAGTGCCTAACTTTCCAAAACCCTAACCATGTATATTCTGAATGAATGATATGAAAGATGCATGGAAGAGTCTTTGCAGCTTTTATGACTCAGTTATACTTGCAGCTTTAGAATATTTGGATCACTTAAATGCATTCACAGTTTCCTTGAATCTTTCATTGCTTCTCTCAATTATCAGCTTGTAATGATTGAATAAGAGGCACTGTACAAAAGTTACGCCAGTTTCTTGACCATTGAAAGTTGCCTTGTTGAACTGCATCTCTGTTGCATGCTTAGGTCTTGGTTATCAAGATTGCAGCGGGGATGGCATCTTTCCACCAAGTTAGTTTGAGGGCGATCTGGTTTGCTGGAGTCCTTTCCGCTCTCTTCTCCAAACTGCAGGGCATGGCTCGCTTTTGTGGCTGAGACTTAAACAATAAAATAAAATAGCCTTCTCAGCTGCTGCAGTGAGCTAGTACTCTGGTGATGCTCTTGATCTTGCCAGCTGTTTACTTTTAGCACCTTATTACTGCAGCTTTGGGGCTTTTGCTTGCTGCGGGGGCTTGGAAAGCGCTTGGTGACACAGAGTTCCCTGGAAGCTCCTGAACTGAGAGTACTTACCGGACGGGCTGGACTCTGTGCCACAAGTGGTCTCTTTGAAATCCTGTATTTCTGCACAAATATGTAACCAAATGACAGGAAAACCTTTTTAAAACCTCAGCCAAGAGTCATTTTGAAAGTCAAGTAATCCGTATTTGCAAATATTCCAGTTGAAATAGTTGTTCTGTCCTGTGCAGCTTTAGTAGAAAAGGAAATTTTCTAGGAAAGTCCCCAGGGAAGTATTTTAAATAAAACGCAACATCCTTTTGGTATAAGTGAAGTTTATCTGGAATTTATTAAAGTAACTTTGTCGATAACTGGTGGCCCTGGGGTAGGCCAGTTGTGCGTGATGGGAGACTCATAGCCTATCATAATGCAATTTTACACTCATATTGACAAAATGATCTCTTTCTCACTAAATACAAACATATGTAGGCCTTCAGTGAGCATCCGTTACACACCCTTAAGAAACTGGATTACTCTTAACTTAGTGCTGTTTTTCAGTGAAGACTGGGGTTAATGAAGGAGAGCATGTTTTAAAGAAATATGGTTTCACTATATTATTTTCATTGGAAAGGTTCAATTGCTACTTTTGAAATGTTAATAGGTGTTTTTCAGATGTCCTGAATTTGTTTCTTTGTCCTGTGGGGAACTTGGGAGAAAGGAATACGGGCAAATTATTTCATAAAACATAGGAAATGCCTGTAGATTGACAGTTAAATCTGTAATAGTGAACACATTCAATTTTCCCCTTTGTTCTGTCAGCAGTCACTTGTACTCTAAATGTCTATTTAATTTGTTAAATAGATTAACAGGAAATGTTTGCATTATTTGATTATTGAATTGAGTTTTCCAAATAATGGATTTTTTCCCTCAAATGTTTCTGTGATCTTGAAAATATTTTTCCGTAAGCAGAAAGTGCTAAAAATGGAAGGAGAGCATATCTTGAGGGATCTGAAGTATACGTGCATAATGCCTCATTTGAAATCACTATACACTTGCATTTTGTTGGGGGAGAAAAGAAAGAAACAGTTTGTCATCTGTACTGCCTTCCAAAATTAGATTCAGTTAATCCTACCTTTTTGAGTAAATAAGCAGCAGATTGGTCTTAAAAATGAAATTCAAGCAAGCTCTTGATAGGCGATATAAAAAATAAATAAGCTAATATGTGAGCAACATAGAGCATTTCGGTGATAGATGATAATATAGATTACCTTTGTTGTTTACATAATTAGGCTGGGCAGGGAAGGGAGAGGGAGAAAGCAGCATTCGTGAAGGCTTTTGTTTAGTCCTGGGTGGGATTTCGGGGGGGGCTGGATGTTTTCTGTACTCCGTGCGTTGGTTTGCAGCGCACGGGTGAAGAATTGTATAGGAAATTTGCAGCTGCTCTAGTTATTCAGTAAGATTTGTATAAGCTGGCACAAGGGACAAAATTAGAGGGAACTTGAACCAGCGCCGTGCGGTTTATTAGCTAGGCAGCCATAATTTTGACCTTGCTGTGGGTTAAAGGACACAGACCTGCAAAGAAATCTGTTTATCATGTAGGGAATTCATGCCATCCCTGACAGTGTACAGTGAACAAGATGGATGATCTGCCAAATTGGTCCCTCGCATGGGTGAATCAGGGCAAATTTACAGTACAATTCCTTTGCTGCTGCTGATACAAAAATAACATTTGCTGGGTTTTATATTCAGTTGTATGATGACCTAGGGTGAAACAGAGAAAAGAATAAGATTTGTAGGATCCGTATTGCCTTAAAGATTTATATGAACCTGGCTTTCCTTTTTTATCTGCCTCTTTTACATCTTTCATAAACCACTAAGAAAAGAGTCCCAATTGCTTGGTTTGAGAGAGCAATTTTATGTAAGTGTGTCAGGGAACCATTCTTAAATGAAGTATGATAAAAGCTTCTGCTAGCTTGAATAACACCATTTTACTGTGCACCCTGCTTCATTTGAACCCTACTTTTACTAAAGCAGCATTTTCCTATAGGATTTAGGCTATGCTTTCCATGCTGCCTGATCTGCCTGTTTTGCAATTATTTGGCAGTATTCTGGAAAATGAACAAACATGGAAAAAGGTGGAAGGTGATGTTAGCCGTTGCCTTGCTAGTGAGAGGACCTGGCGCTGCAGTGAATTGCTGGCGCAGTGGTGTCGCAGTGCTCAGGAAAACGCCCCAAGTTTTTGCTGTGGGATGGACTCCTAAGCTTCCTCCAGAGATCTCGAGATGAATCCGCTGATGTATGAATCCAAGATAGTAGAGCAACAGTGTCAAGTAATGAGATGGGAGACAGCAAGGAGGAGGAAGTGATCCCACAGAAAGGGAAAAGTGGATGGAGAAATCTAGCATATTCTTTATCATTTGTAGGGAATTGTTCTTCTAAAGCACGTTCGCTGTGTGTGGTTACTTTAAAAAGATGGTCAGACCGTACTCTACTTTGGATGTTTGGATTTTCTGCGTAAGCCCAGTTGGTCCCTTCCATTTAACGATAAATGTGAACTTATTAAGGCAAAACAATGTTTTGTACGGAAGTTACTGTTCTGAAAAATTAACAGATTCAGAGAGCTTTCTTTCAAACAAAACGTTCACATCACAAATTTTGGTGTCTCCTGATCCGCTAGCTATCTTTATGTTGGATTCGCTATCTCATTATTTGATACAACATAACAAGATTAAAATACATTTTGTAATTAAGTTATTTCTGGGCAAAGAGGAGATATGTGAAAATGTGATGCAAGTGATAAGAAACAGAATATGGAATCAGCAACACTCTCAAGATAAGTTGCATTATTTCTAGAAGATCCCTCGTTGACACTACAGCATAGTGGTTAAGTGAGTTTCTTATAGGTCATAGATGTTTAAACTGGTCTATAATAGTAGATGGGAGAGAATTCTTATAGGAAAATGTTGTGGAAAGCTAGACCATGAGATTTCCTGACCAAGGAAATTTCTTGCAACCTTACAAAGTACTGCACTTCATTTATTCCTAATTTTTTTTTTTTATATTTGTACGTCTTGCCTTTATGAGAAAGCAGAGATGACTCAAGATAAAATTACAAAATAATTTTGTTTTTAAAAAGAAGCTTTTCAGTAACCAAGTCATAACAAGTAGCATTTTGCATACTTAGGCATTCCTTTAAGTAGGTAGAATTGAAATGAGAAGGAAAGTTAAATATCCTGCAATCAAAACATTACAGTTATGCTAAAGTGAGGTCTTTTTTTCCCCTTTTTTTTTAATTACAGAAAGCACTCCAAAGACTTCTGCCAGTTGCAGTCCTGCTCCTGAATCTCCTATGAGCTCCAGTGAATCAGTGAAGAGCCTGACCGAATTGGTACAGCAACCCTGTCCTGCTATAGAGACAAGTAAGGATGGCAAATCACAAGAATCTAGTGAGCCACCTGCCTCCGAATCCCAATCTACAACACCTTTGCCTCTGTCGGGTCACTCAGCCCTCAGCATTCAAGAACTGGTTGCTATGTCACCTGAATTGGATACGTATGGCATTACAAAAAGGGTCAAAGAAGTGCTAACGGACAACAATCTTGGTAAATTGCTTTATTCTCATTTCTTTGTTGAAATAAAAAGGAAGTATTCATGCTATGTTTCCGTAGAGAATGTTACTTGGTTTTGGCTCTGGCCTAAACTTTAATCCGTTAAGGAGAATTTTTCGTAGCCCGGTAGAAAAATCCTTTCAGATTGTAGGACTCCATAAGAAAATGTCATCATGCACTTGCTCTTCTTAAGCTTTGCCTCTGGCTCACCAGCCAGGTCCTGCTCCCAGCTCCCTAAATACAGTCCAGCAGGCTGTAAAGAAGACCAGAATCCCAAAGCCAGTGAGGTGTCTTCTTGAGAAATGCTGGTTCCCCAAAGCTTGTGGATTCAAGCCCCAAGCATTTCAGGCAGAGGTAGAGTAAAGGAGTCTCAGCATGTTTGGAAAGGGAAGGGCATCAGAGGCAAAAGTGTAGTGTGCCTGTAGAGCAAGAAGGGTGAATCCAGACTTGGTCAAGGTTTATATGAACCTGTAGGTAAGTCTATGGGGCCATTCAGTTATTTTGCTTAGACATCTACAAAGCTAAGGCTGCTTTTGCCTGCAGATAAGTTTTTGGGTGCCACGTTAAGTATAACGTTGATATGGCTGACGATATTTGGAGTAGGCAAAGGGAATAACCTGATCAGAGTACGGGAGTTTTTGGGAAATCCACACTTAATACTTCCACAATGCCTCTGAGTAAGTCACTAGTTCTTGTCTGCTTAACGTTTCCCTCCCAAGGCGTTGGGAAACCCTTAGGAGTTCTTTGAAATCTCTGACTGGAAGGCAGTAAGGTTGCACCAGTGTTACCTGTACGGGCTTCTGGTGCTTAGCGTGGGATTCATCTCATCTGCATTTAGACATTCAAAGCAGATGTCTGAGATGGTTGGGTGAATCACTCTCCAGAGCTGGCAGTTTTTCTGCATTCACTAGAGGGAGGACTGAAATAATAAGCTTAGATTTAGACCGATAATATTCATGTGAGAAGGATTCCACCCATATGGTCTGAATGTTTTAACTGTATAAGTAAAGACTCCTTTATTTGAGTACGTGGGGCCCTTTCTCAGCTAGACACAGAATAACAGGTGGTATTATCTTAGATTTTAAAAAATGGGAAAATACTGGGGGTGGAGGGAAGGGAAATGGCACTTAGCATAATTTGGGGGAAAAAAAAGAAAAGAAAAGAAAAGAAAAGAAATGTGATTCTGGACATACTCCTGCATGAGAGTGTGTTCCACTGAACCCAGCAGAATTACCCACTCATGCACGTTGGCATGGGCAGACTGCGATTGCTTGTTCAGTGGAGTCAATGTAGAAATAAAGCCACAAATCACGGTAAGGGTTAGCAGGTTCAAGCCCCTAGTTTTTGGGCAAAATGCTGTTGAGTGCTGTACCTGCTCTGGTGTTCCAGAGAGGGTTGAAAAGTATTTTTGTTTACATTTGCTTTGATGCCATTTTTACTTAGTCTTTTTTATTTCCCATGATTTTTGTTTTCCTACAGTGTGGCTGACAAGCCTAAAAAGCAGCAGAAGAGCCAGGAAATGTGCCCCAAACTCTGCATTAGGTGTGGAACCAGTTTCAATGTTTCCTTTTGCGCCCTCAGTGTGCTAGTGCACCAGATTGACTTGGTGCTCAGGTTTCTCTGTCTTAGGCCACAGGGCCTTGTAAACCTGTCCTAGGCAAGTCCTAGTGGCTCGGTTGTTCAAATATCGTCAGCCACTAAAGACCATGATTGCGTGAAGCTATTCAAGATGACTTGGCAAACCAGAACGTGTTTGGCGGTCTCTCCTCCCATTCCTTTTAGTATTCCTAGCCCAAATGTTGTAGCATTATATATGTCAGGGCAACATGTCATTTAGATACAGAGGGAAGAAAATGCAATGAGCTATTGAAAAATTGCAGTGTTAGGGGGATTTTGCAGGGTGGGCCAGGACTAGCCATGAAGCTAGCATAACCGACAGAAAGTTCTGTCCATTAGGAGCTACATCAGTGGGAACATGCACAAAGAGTATTAGGCAAAAAAGAAGGGGAATTAACAGGAGTTTTATGAAAACTGTTCCTAAGAATACTCAAGTGATTAATAGCTGTCTGGTGAAGATGGAGTGTGATACACCTACTGCCTCCTGAGAATGATTTCTAATGCATTCCCCATCAGCTTGGGAGACTTGCAGGTGTTTGGTCCTGTCCTGCTGTATCCTGGAATAGAAAAAATGACACAAACATCTTTAGCTTTGCCCTTAGTATCTACAGAACATGATGTTACCTCCGTACACTTCTGGATTTAGAATTTTGAGGCTATAGTTTGAAGTTCATTTCCTTCGTCAGCATTGCACCTGGGCCACTTACTTCTGACCCAGAATTGCTAGTTCATGCTGATATTCCTGTTCGTGTGTTCACACGATAAACCAGAGCAGGGAGTTGGCCTGAGTGAAAAGGGACCACCATATTTCTGAGAGATTAGTGTGACTTAGATCAGTTCCCTGCTCCAATTTCCCGCGGAGCCACACGGGCGATTGTGGTGGCTCTAAGAGCACAGCACAGCGGCCGGTGGGGGGGATCTCATGGCCCCTGAGAAAAATGCTCCTCGCTTTGCAGCCTCAGCACTCTGGGGGCTTAGAAATGATGGGAAATGTTAAAGGCAAGTTTGTTTACAAAAAGAAAAAAGATTTTTAAGGTAGCTATCTTAGTGCAGGTACTTACAACTAGCTGGCCCTTTTAAAGGTAAATGCATAAGGTCTTGCTGCTTTTTTTAAATAGCGTATTCAGATTTACAAAGAGAAACGGGGAGCACGTTAACTTTGGAACACTGATGATCCAAAATTGGCCCTGAATTACAATTTTTTTTCCCTGATTTTCCTGATATCGAGGGTTTGGAAGGAAAAAAGTCTGTGTTTAAGCCATTTGGTTGAAAATCATATATTCTTTTGGAACTTAAGTAAATTCTGAATTTAGCTTTCTATTTCATCTCTGAGAACCAAGCACAGGGTTAGTTTTAGAGACTGAGAGAAGACTCTCTTGTTAATCCTATCTTCATTTCCCCTCTCTACCTCTCATAATCTCGGCTGCTTCGTACAAAATCTTTGCAGGCCCCTTCATCCAAGGGGGTGGGGGGGGCACTGCTGCTTAAAACTGATCCCGCCATCGCCATCCCTTCTCTCCCCTCTGCCCATGCAAGCGAAAAAAAAAATGGCAAGGCCAGAGTTTAAAAGGAGGAGGAATTTCACAAAGTTAGATGCTAGGGAAAGGTCTGTGGAATAGATATTAACCAGGGTGCTTTCGGGAGGGACCTCGAGTGCAGGCTTGCTCTGCACAGCTGGAGCAGCACAAGCCCCCGAACATCTGCACCAGCCCCCCAGAGCCAGGTGGTGCCACTGGCTAGTGCTGCTGGCACGTGTAGGAAACGGAGAAGGGCGTTCTGCGTTGCATGTTAGTGAGGGCATTCAAAAAGCTAAGGAACAGACACAAGACCCTGAGGCCTAAACTTGGTAGGTATGGAAAGATCTTTGGGTTACCTTGAAAATACATGATAGCTACACTTCTGTCAGAAATCACCGGTTATGACTCAGATGACTTCAGGCACAGTCTTGTGACAAAAGCTGCTACATATCAAGGCAGTTTAGCATAGGAAGAACATTGAAGTGAAGGTTTTTAGGGAACCAGCTGCATGGTTGGGTTTGAGCTCCGTAGGCATTTTCCAAAGACCTTAATAAGTTAGATTTTAACTATATAAAATTACTAACGCACATATCAATGATATACCTTGAAAAGCATGTGTGGTTTCTACCATACTAGACTACAGCGTTTTGAAAGACAACTAAGATGAAGTATTCTTAACTAGAAGTACTGTAGTGGTTATTTAAAAAAAAAAAAAAAGTGCAATTGTAAAATGTGATTATCTGCAGTCGCTAAAACACTATTAGAACACCAGTGATAACAGAAAATATTTACATGTGTCTTTGAGGACACTAATAGAACTGTTGCTGAATGGGGGGTTGTGATGGTTTTGGTTCACGGATTATTTGAGATGTTTGTCTTGCCCGGTTGCATTGAAGCTGTTACAGTACCTTCCCTCAAAAGAACTAAGTAGCCTCACTGCTCTCACTGAAGTTGCCTGCTTAGCTAAAAGTTTGGTTTATTTTTAATCTCGTTAATTTTGTTTTTTTGCACGCTGTTTCCACTGTAAGGTCCTGATCCCAAAAGGTGTTGGGCTCCCCTCTTTGCCCCAGTCAGGTCCCAAGGATTAAACTAAAGCCCAATATTTACACCTCTAGTGGGAGGAGAGTTTTTATTCTTGTAAATGTTTCTTTTGGGTTTTCAAGAAATTGTGAAGTAAGACTAATTGGCGAATGATCTTATAGTCATGTTCTGCTTTTTTTTTTGTTAGTCTCGTCTCTTAACTGAATGATTACATGTGATTTTCAATTTCGTATTAGGTCAGCGTTTGTTTGGGGAGACAATCCTAGGGCTAACACAAGGCTCTGTCTCAGACCTTCTGGCGCGCCCTAAGCCCTGGCACAAGCTGAGTTTGAAGGGACGGGAACCCTTTGTCCGCATGCAGCTGTGGCTCAATGATCCCAACAACGTGGAGAAGTTGATGGATATGAAACGAATGGAGAAAAAAGGTAACCTGGAGCAGACTGCGGACTCGTGTTTTTCATAGTTCAAAAATGACCGTATCTTTTTAAAAATACTGTATAAATAGTATATTGGCAGCATTGGTCCGGTGTTACGAAGGCTACGCAAAAGGGCTTTGTGACAGCTTTTTCATAGCCCGATTTGATGCTAGCTTCAGGAGATACATCTCAAAAAAACCCCAAACCCTGAGTATTCACCAGCTGTCAGGAAATCATGGCTAGACTCTCCTATAGATTAATTACTGAGGCCCTGGTGTATCACTGATAACTTGCCTTACCAAATGAGAAATGTGAGTTTGGGAGCTGGCTTTGGGTTATTAGTTAATAGTGTTGCAGCTGGTCACAGATGTTGGGCTGGAGTTGCTGTGCACCAATTCCTGAGAGAGCTTCTTGCCATCCAGCACTGACAGTCACTAGGAGGAAGGGAAAATGCAGCCTTCATAAAAGGGTATTTGAGAATCATCATTTGCTTAATTTAATTTGTAGCCTTTATAGGGTTGGGGGAAGGTAACTGTGCTAAGAGAGGCTAGCCTGAAGAGGTTAGGTCACGAGTGTTATTATTGGGTATCTTACTAGGGAGTGTGTCCTGAGAATTTTAGCCTACTCTCTATATTTAAAATTCCTCCCTAAAAAACAGGTTATTCAGAGCCCTGTTTTAATATGTTCATGTGATTCTACAACAGAGAGACTCGTAGGCTGTCATTATCAGCAGTTAACTAATTAATGATATATACATCTCTCAAGAGCTATCCCTTAATGGTATTAGTACAGATAGTATTAATTGTGTGCGCTGAAAGCACTGCTGTTGACGGATGTCCTGAAAGCATTAACACATTTGATCAAGAATTTTGTGATTATATTAAAAACTGTAGTTAGATTGCTTCTGGGGAAAATGGCAGTCTTACACGCTTTCAAGAAATTCAGATCCTTGTTGTAGTAACTGTGTGCAGTACAGTGCAGTGCAGGATCTTATTGCAAATTGCGTGCGAGCTTCCACTGGGAGCAAAATCCACTTGGGTTTCTCACTTACAACTGTAAACCAAAGGGAGCCATGATGGTTTTTGCCGTGTTAGAAATACAGCAGAAATAAAATTGTCAACCAGCTGGATTTTTATAGCCTCTAAGAGAATATCTGCCATAATGTAGGAAAATAAAATAAAAATAATTTAAAAGTAGTACTGACAATATCCTTTCAAAACTATTTTCTAAACTGGATTCTTATCAAATACAGTGCAATACATATGCTGTATAGATGGCACCTGAATAGAGATAAGGCTATAAATCATTTGAGACTGTACTGAGCTCCTGAACTGTGTAAGTGCAGTCCTCACAGCAGAGCACTCTAAAGTGAATTCAGCCCTGTATTTTCTGCAGAATCCTTTCATGCAGGTAAGGATTCTGTGATGTAACCTTTTAAATTGCTCTAGAGCCACATTAAGAATTTAACTTTCCCTTCAGCTAATGTCAGTTGCAGAACAATGCAACTGTATCTGTTACTAGTGAAACATTATTACCAATTACTTCTCTGCCACATTTTATTAAGGGAGTAAATTGATAATTATGATAAAGGTGAGCTGCATATATCTTTTTTTGCTCTTCCTCCAGTCTAAAGTTTATGTTATAAATGTTCATTTTAAAAGGTTCTGAAAATCTGCAATATACATTAGGTAACCTCTTTGGAGGGAGATGGGGGTTCATACTCACCGGGCTGAGACATTTTGCCCCACCTTTCCTGCCCTGGAAGACTTCATTCCTGTTTCTTACAACCTCCCACGGCGTGTGCTGCTGGTAACATCACACTCCTCGCTGAACAGTACTGAAGCCTGCTGTCAGGAGAAAATTTAATTCCCTTTATTTCCCCATTATTTCACTTTTTAATAATCTTGTTCAATACTGCATAAGACAAAAATTATATTAAAAGGGGCTCTGTTTTACCTCAGTGGGCAGCCGCTAGTTCTGCAATAGCATCTGCATCATCTGTAGCTGAACACATGCTGGGGAGTCTTTCCAGAGGGACGTGGCGATACTGGGTCTGCAGCAGCAAGAAAAGAAAAGTAGTAAAACTCAGGGGATAGAGCTGGCCTTGACAAGTTGATCTCAGATCCAGACCTTTCCCCAGATTGCATTTGCTTTTTTTTTCCTTAGGTCTCCTGGGAGGTGGAGACCCACCACGGACCCCCCCCCAAAAAAAAAAGCTCCAAGAATCAAGTATGTTTGCAACTTGGATTCTTGTCTGAGCCTCTCTGTCACTGAAAATGTGCTGAATGATCTCCTTATGTTGTCTACGTTCAGCACATATGTTTAAAATCAGAATTAAAAAGGAAAAGCTTTTATGAACGTCATCCAAAGTTTCCGGAGAACGCAATTAAAGCATAAAGCCTAGGTACAGGTTTAGCACATTGATAAGTGCCAGAATTATGCCTTTGGCCCAATGGAAGTTTGTTCTGGTAGTATATTATCATCCAGAAAAATAATTGGTTATGGCGTAACAGCGGGCATCTTCTTTATTTCTAGGTTAGGGAGACATTTACACTTATTTAATTTGTTCCAGTCACATGCAAGAGACCCAAAGAAGGCATTGCACCTTTTGCAGTGTGAGGTTACAAAAGCAGAGGGAGGCCTCAGACATGAGATTTTTCCTGAGCTATCACCTAGGGCAGGGCTCCACGCTCTGCTTTTGGGTGCTTGGCCTGAGCTGCTTGTATGAGTCTAAAGACGGGAGCTCCGTGCTGCCAGAAATGCCATCCTTTGGCAGACAGAGAAAACAGAAATTCTGAGCATCCTGATGCATGGGTGTCTGGTGTTAGCTCCGCCACCTGACCGCATTCCAGAAACTCCGGCTTGAGATAGCCTAAACACCTTTTCCGTCTTCCATGTGACGTTCTGTTTTGTCTCATGTCCTCTTCTACATTGCTGTGCGTTGCTGAAGTGATAGATGTCGTCTTTCAGCCCTGGTGGTTGTGTTATCGAAGGAGACAAGAGTACTGTGCGTATAGACGGAATGTCAGTGCAAGTTTGAAATAACACCTAGGAGCCTTTGATATTAAAGAGCTCATATAAATTTAAGATGATATTGCTAGATTGATTAATTCCATGGTTGAAGGCTGTAACAGTTCCTAGAGTGCTGCAAAAATAGGGCCGATAGGTCACCTTGAAATAATATGTTTACCAGTAATCACTTTGCAGTCCTACATCTTGTGGAACAACTTAAATAGATAATTTTTAATAGAATCTATTAAAAAATATGTAGAACAGCTTCCCTTTTTATAGTTATTTCAAACACGTGCAGGACTGTATCGTGGCAGAGTGATGGATCATGAGCAACTTGCGTTCTGTTCCGTATCAGTGATCTTACACAGTAGGCAATCCACAGGTAATCTGTCATATTCAAGAAAAACAAAATGAGGGCCGTGCAGATACCCCCAAAGGTTACAGAGGGTGTTCAAAATTCACTTCAGTGATAGTATGACGCAGCGCAAAGGTCCCACTGGACGGAGAGGATGCGATGATGAAACCCACTGGAGACAGCAGACCTAGACAGTCCCGTAGGGAGCTCTGCCAGGGGGAGTTGGCTCGTGTGAGAAGGGCTCTCAGCGTTTTAGTTAGTTTACTGGCATTGAATTGTTATTCTCTGTGCACCCTCAGCCTAACGGCAGAGCTGTGGGGAGAGAAAAAAATGTATGAAGGATTCGGTTGCTGGCGCTTGCGAGGTGCTCCACATTGCTCTCTGGCTCCGATCGGAGCTCCTGGCTGCCGGAGATTTAGTGCCTGCTTGATTGATGTCAGGCTGCTGTAATCTGGAACATAATAGGCGAGGTTATCAAATTGCAGCTCTTGAATACCTAAACTCTTAAATATCTAGAAGGTATTTAACAGGCCATTAAATATTTTATTGACAAGATTCGTCTGTATTTGCCGTTGGCAGCCCCCTCATTAGCCATGCTGGTGCCTGCTACTGCCAGGTGTGGTAAATCCCACCTCCCGTGGCCCAGCAGGA